TTTGGGCCTCTTGGGGGTCTCCTGGGGCCTCTTGAGGGGCCTCCTTGGGGCCTCCTGGCGGCCTCTTGGGGCGGAAGGCTCGAGCTTGCGGTTCGTGGTCCCCCTCTGGGCCCCCTCTTGGGCCCGTCTTGGGGCCCTCTTGGGCCATCTTGGGCGCCTCTTGGGCCGTCTTGGGGCCCTCTTGGGCTGTCCTGGGGCCCTCTTGGAAGCTTCTTGGGCCGTCTTGGGGCGGTCTTGGAGGCCTCTTGGGCCGTCTTGGACGCGGTGAAAGCCCAAGATGCGAACATGCGAAAATATACATTTTCCCATAGGAATGGCACGATTTTTGTTTCTTGGACCTCTTGGGGTGCCTCTCGGAACGTCTTGGGCTGATTTTGGAAGCCTTTTGGCGCCTCTGGGTGGCGTTTTGGCGCCTCCTGGGATATGTTGGGCCGGAAGCTCGGAATTCGAGAGTGGCTTTCTCCTTCTGGGACCCCTCTCGAAGTCGTCTTGGGGTTCTCTTGGGCCGTCTTGGGGCCGTCCTGAGCCACTCGTGCGCAGCCTTGGAGCGCTCCCGGAGGCCTCCTAGGCCGTCTTGGAGGCCTCTTGGGCCGTCTTGGACGCGGTGAAAGCCCAAGATGCGAACATGCGAAAAATATACGTTTTCCCATAGGAATGGCACGATTTTTGTTTCTTGGACCTCTCTTGGGGTGCCTCTCGGAACGTCTTGGGGTGCTTTTGGGAGCCTTTTGGCGCCTCTTGGCGGCATTTTGGCGCCTCCTGGAGCCTCTTGGGCCGGAAGCTCGGAATTCGAGGTTGGCTTTCTCCGTCTGGGACCCCTCTCGAACTCGTCTTGGGGCTCTCTTCGGCCGTCTTGGGGCCGTCCTGGGACACTCGTGCGCAGCCTTGGAGCGCTCCCGGAGGCCTCGTAGACCGTCTTGGGCGCCTCTTGGGCCGTCTTGGACGCGGTGAAAACCCAAGAGGCGAACATGCGAAAAATATACGTTTTCCCATAAGAATGGCACGATTTTTGCTTCTTGGGCCTCTCTTGGGCTGCCTCTCGGAGCGTCTTGGAGGCTTCTGGGACCTTCTTGGTGTCATGACAGGCGTCTTGGAAGGCATCTGGAGCCATCGGAGCGCGTTTCGAAGCCGCCAGCGAACGATCTTGGACGGCGTCGGGCGGTCCGACGAGCCTCCGGGCCCCCCGGAGCCCACATTTGAGGTCGGGGTCCCGGCCCCGGGCCCCCGGACCCGGTGCGCCGTTATGTATATTGCCCCCGAGAACACCAGCAAGCCCCCGCGAGACTCCCATAGACCAAGATGCCTCGAGAGGCTGCCAAGAGAGCCCCTGACGTCCCCAACATGCCTCCAAGGTGCAGCCGAGTGGTTCCCAAAGAGACCCCAAGAAGTCTCCAGTAGACGTCTTGTCAACGACATAAGACTGTTACGAGATAGGCTGAAAGCCCCGAGACCTGCTTGGCACGGGGATTGAAACTGCAACTGACTTTTCGATAGCGCCAGATCACAGCCCCCCAGGATGGCGAGGTCTCATTTGAATATGCGTAGCACGCCGCTCCGCTGGATCCCCCAGCAGCCCCCGAACGTGGCGACAAGTTCGCAGATCGCAGCCGCCCAGGGATGGCGAGGTCCCACTTGAACCTGCGTAGCACGTCGCTCTGCTGGACCCCCCAACAGCCCTCGAACATGGCACCAATTTCGCAAGTCGCAACCCCCGTGGGGTGGCGAGGCCTCCTGGTAATCCGCGAAGGACGGCACGCCGCTGGACCCTCCAGCAGCCCCCGAACGTGGCGACAAGTTCGCAGATCGCAGCTCCTCAGGGACGGCGAGGTTTGAATCCGCGTAGGACATGACTCTGCTGGACGTCCCAGCAGCCCTCGAACATGGCACCAGGTTCACAGATCGCAGCATCCCAAAGATGGCGAGGTCTCAGGTTGATCGGCGTAGGACGTCACTCCGCTGGACCCCCCCCAGCAGCCCGTGAAAGTGGCAACAAATTCGAAGATCGCAGACCCCAGCGGTGGCGAGGTCTCCTGGTGATCCGCATAGGACGTCACTCCGCAGAACGTTCCAGCAGCCCTCGAAAATGGCGACAAATTCAGATCGCAACCCCCCAAAGATGGCGAGGTTGCCTGGTGTTCCGCGTAGGGCGTCACTCCGCTTGGCACCCCAGCAGCCCTGGAAAGTGGCGACAATCTCGCAGATCGCAGCCCCCCCAAAGATGGCGAGGTTTCATCTAAATCCGCGTAGGACGTCACTCCGCCGGACGCCCCAGCAGCCCTCGAACATGGCACCACTTTCGCAGATCGCATCCCCCAAAGATGGCGAGGTCTCCTGGTGGTCCGCGTAAGACGGCACGCCGCTGCACCCCCCAGCAGCCCCCGAAAGTGGCGACAAGTTCGCAGATCGCAACCCCCCAAAGATGGCGAGGTTTCATCTAAACCCGCATAGGACGTTACTCCGCTGGACACCCCAGCAGCCCTCGAAAGTGGCAAGAGTTTCGCAGATCACAACAACCAAGGGATGGCGAGGTTGCCTGGTACTCCGCCTAGGGTGTCACTCCGCTGGACCCCCGAGCTGCCCTCGAAAGTGGCGACAAGTTCGCAAATCGCAGCCCCCAAGGGATGGCGAGGTCTCCTGGTGGTCCGCGTAAGACGTCACTCCGCTGGAACCCCCAGCGGCCTTGAAAGTGGCGACGGTTTCGCAGACCGTTGACCCACAGATGACCAGGTAGGCGGCAAGCTGGCTGGCAGGAAGGAGCGAGGCAAGAAGCAGGTGGGAAAGATGAGAAAAGGAGAGGCGGCGGGAGGCGGGAGAAGGAGACGCGCGAGCAGTGCTCTATGTAAAACGAGTGCCCAATGCAGGACGGTTGGGAAACATGAATAGGCACGAATCCCAGGATTCCCAATATTTTCTTATATTTTCTGAAGTTTCGTGTTCCCCTCCAGTTCCTATATTTTCCCATATTTTGCTGAGAATCGACGATTCTTTGTGTCTGTGTTTCCTCCCCTCCTGAATCATGAGCCCAAAGGTGTCCAAGACGGCCCAGACTTAGAGGGCCCTGGAAACGACAAAGCCGCTTTTTTACTGGTTCCGGTTTGCCGTTTTTGTTGCCTGTTCCGACGTTGTTGTTTTACCAGTTCCGTCGCCGTTTTTTGACCGGTTCCGGCTCCAATTCCAATCCTGGAGCAGTTTTTTACCGTTTTCGGTCGCCGTTGTTTTACGGTTTCCACTTTCAAGGGACATTTTCTTGGAAACGGTGGAAGAAACGGCCCTGCCGTTTCCAGGGCCCACAAAGGGCCCAGATACGCCCACAAGGCGATCTCCGAATAAGCCGAACGGCCCGAAAGCCCCCGGAGATGTCCTGAGAGGGCCCAAGATGACCCAAGAGAGTCCAGATGACCCCAGAAAGCCGCTCTCCAGTGCTCTCCAAGTGGTGTCCCCCACGGTTTGGGGAAAATGATCTCCACTGGCAAGGCCGCACTCTCTTTCGCTCGACACTTCACCACGCAGGCGCTTCCAGATCCCCCAGGATGCACAAGAACATCCAACAAGCACGACGAACCTTGGGGTTAGGTCGGCCATGTGCCCTTACAGCCGCACTGTGGAAGAACAACGACAAATTGCCAGACCATACTCAAGACTAGGCAAACATAGTAGAACAGTCGTCCCCATAATATGCTTTTACTGCGTTTGGATATTATTCCTGTAGAATGGCATGCCCGACTTAACAATAAGGTGCCCTTCCCGAATCGACCTCGATCTTACACGCCAGTCGGAAGAAGTAGGTTGAAACCATGAAGTAGGAAAGCGGATCAAGTAGATTGGGTACAGGCCCTCCCAGAGAATAACGTAGCACAGTAAAAGCAGATCGATTCTTGAAGTAGGAGGGCGCTTGAAGTAGACTGGGATCTGGAATTCCAAACGTAACTACTTCCAACGACCGCCGTGTACTGGTACAGTGGAGGCCGATCCACAAGAAATCTTCAACGAGAAACACAACCCTGAGACCCCAGGACGTCCATTGATTCTTGGCGTGGGAGCGTCGCGCTTTTGACAGCAAAACCATCGATACCCTAGAAACCCAGGGCACCCTGGAGGCAAGCAAGGTGTTTTTGTTGGCATGGGTCTCCACTGTACTGGTAAGTATCTGCTCCTCCTTGATGCTCCGAGATCAGGAAGGTACGTGCCGCTCCGGGGCGGCGCTCGAGTTGGGTGGGCGTGCCTCCAATGGACTCGCTCAGCTCGGGGATCTCCTGACCCGGGTCAATCCAGACCCAGGTCAGCAGGAAACCAAAAACTGCAATGCAGGAAACAAAAACTGCAACGCAGATATTCGCAAACCCGGGTCAGCCAATATGCGCGGCCGCGTGCCCGCCGGCAAGAGGGCGCGCAGGAGGGGAGGCAGCGCGCGTTCCTTGGCCTTCTCGTAGTTTGCCTTGCCGGAAGGCGTCCCCTTGACCCAGACCTCCCCGTACCTGCCGGGCGGCCGCCGCGGCACCCCCCCGTCGGGCGACTGCGCGCCCGCGCCCGTCGCGCCTGCAGACTGCGCTCGCCCGCCTGTGGGCTTCGAGCGCCCGGCGCGCCTGTAGGCAGCGCGCGCGCGCGCCTGAGGGATCGGTTCTCGGCAGGCGGCGGATGGATATGGACGTCATCGCCCGCCACCCCCCAGGGCACATCCATGGCGACTGCCTGCCGACGTCCCCAAAGCGATGCAAAAACAACGCTTACACACAAAACCATAGGGAGGAATAGTGGGGAAGGGCGATGAGAGTAAGGCACTAGGTATGGGTAAGGGGTGTTGGGCCCCACGGAGTCACCCCGAGAAATCTGGGGGTCGCATGGGCACGGGTGCTAAGTAGTTGACAGATCGTGGCAGAGACCGATACCCCAGGTGGTGGCCTGTTGTACAGTGGAAGCCAGTCCACAAGAAACCTTCCTCAAGAAACGCAGCCCTGAGATCCCAGGACGCCCATTGGTTATTGGCGTGGGAACGTCGCGCTCTTGACAGAAAAGCAATCGAAACCCAAGAAACCCAGGGCACCCTGGAGTCAAGCAGGGCGTTTCTTGGCATGGGATGGGTCTCCACTGGAAGCCCTCGCCTCGGCCGTGCGCGCCGCGCCGCCCGCGCGCGCCCGCGCCCGACGTACACCCTCGACCCGCGGAGAGATTCCGAGGGGCACAGGGCCTCAGAAGCTGCCTCCAGCTGCCCTTTCCTGATCATCCTCCCTCCTCCCCCTCCTCCTCCATCCCCCACCTCCTCCATCCTCCTTCTCCTCCTCTTCCTCCCTCCTCCTCCCTCCTCCTCTTCCTCCCACCTCCTCCCTCCTCCTCCTCCTCCTCCTCCATCGTCCTCCTCCTCCTCCTCTCCTCCTCCTCCTCCTCCTCTCCTCCCCCTCCCCCCCCTCCTCCTCCTCCTCCTCCTCCTCCTCCTCCTCCTCCTCCTCCTCCTCCTCCTCCTCCTCCTCCTCCTCCTCTTCGTCCTCCTCCCCTCTTGTCATGTCAACCGGGGGGTCCAGCCCACGGGTGGCCGAAGCGTGCCCAGCGGGCAAAGGAGGCCCCTGGGCTCCGAGATTCGATCTCTTTACAACCAGAACAACCACTTTACAACCAGATGGGTTACTTTACAACCAACATAGGATTGGAAAGTATGGTTTTTCATCGAGAACGTCCATTTTGCAACCAGAACGGCACACTTTACAACCATAACGGACCACTTTGCAACCAGAACGGGCCACTTTACAACCAGAACGGACCACTTTACAACCAGCTCAGAGTAAGTGGGCGCTCTGAAAGTGCCCCAGAGCAAGCGGGCGCTCTGGAAAATGCCCCAGAGCAAGTGGGCGCTCTGAAAAATGCTCCAGAGCAAGTGGGCGCTCTCAAAAGTGTTCCAGGGCGCGCGGACGCTCTGAAAAGTGCTCCAGAGCACGTGGGCGCTCTGGAGCCCGAGCGCCTGAACTCTCTGCGCAGGCCCCAGCGATGCCTCTGGGCCCGAGCGCCTGAACGCCCTGCGCAGGCCCCAGCGATGCCTCTGAACCCGAGGACCTGGACGCTCTGCGCAGGCCCCAGCGATGCCTCTGAGCCCGAGGACCTGGACGCTCTGCGCAGGCCCCAGCGATGCCTCTGAGCCCGAGCGCCTGGACGCTCTGAGCAGGCCCCAGCGATGCCTCTGAGCCCGAGCGCCTGGACGCTCTGGCGCTCTGAGCCCAGCAGACTAAGACAGGGCTTGCTAGCAGGGGCCAAGCGGCCTCAACAAGGGCCCCGTGCTCGCACGGGAATAAGGCGACAGCATACGTAGGAAGGCTCAGGGCGACGCGCTGCCCATGTTAGGGATCACTCACAGGAAGCGAGCCCAGTGGCCTCCACAAGGGCCCAGCGCCCCAAAGAACTAGGCCATTGGCACCGCGGGTCTCTTGGGCCGCGTTGGCCCCTGAAGCCCCACGGTGTTCTGCAAGGGGCTAAGTGCTCCAGCTCCAGTTGGCCCCCTGCTGCTCCTCTTCTTGGAAGATCGAGGTTCAACGTTCCGAATAAATGCAACTATTTCGAAGATCGTTCCTTCCAGCGTCAGCCACAGTGCCAGCGCAGCAACGCTGGTATCCTGCTCGGGCAGCAGCCTCAGCCACCGTGCCAGCGCAGCAGCTTGAGCCACCGTGACAGCGCATCACCGCCACCTTTGTGCCTGCTATCACCACACTTACCGCTGCAGCCCCGCTACCTCCACAATTCCGATTGACCCCCCGCTACCGCCGCAAATCCCATTGCCGCCCAGCTACCACCATAGTTCCCACCGTTGCCTGGCGACCACCACAGTTGCCACCGCAGCTTCCCAACACGATGCAGTTCCCATTGTAGCCCCCGCTACCACCACATCTCCCACTACAGCTTCCCACTGCCATGCAGCTCCAGTCTTGGACGGGATCACGGTTTATTCGTATGTCCTGCGCGACTAGCCTTCGTCCGTCAGGAAAAAAGGCAGAGCAAGCAATGGCAGAACTGACCGACAGAGCTTAGAGAGCAGGTCAAAACCTTAATCCGCCCACCAGCACGCAACATACCATAGCGCACCAGGTCGCCGCATCGCCAACGCGTGCGCAGTGCTTCTTCGTGCGCGATGGGCAACTTCACAACCAACATGCCTCAAAGAGCCCAAAGCCACCCTTGCGCTTGCCCACGGAGATTTCAGGGAAAGGCCCGCGTGCATTCAATATGTGTTTTTACTTGCCTGGTTGTAAAGTGCCCTTCCTGGTTGTAAAGTGCCCTTCTCGGATTTTGTAAGCTGGTTGTAAAGTGACCCATCTGGTTGTAAAGTGCGCTTCTGGTTGTAAAGTGACCCACACGCCCTTCGCTCCCTCGACGTCGTCCTGCGCTGCCCTCTGGCCATCGGCCACGCATCAGCAGTGGCCCCAGGCGGGTTGCAGCCTACATTTGATGCGTGGACGTTACGTGCGGGGCGGCAGCAGCGGCCGGCGCGCTTGGGCTTGAAGTCCCCCACCCACCCACACCACACACACAAACACACACACACACATACTGTGACACACACACACACACACACACACACACACACACACACACACACACACACACTAAGGCACACACACACACACACTCACACTGCCGCGACGCCCCGAGAACCGCGCACCAAAGGCCCGTCCAGCACCCTCGCGCTTAGGGTCGGGCTTGATCGGAGAGGACAGGCGAGGAGCACAGAGACCCGTCCGAGGGCCACGCTTCCCCAGGACCGCCGAGGACGTGGGGCGCGAAAGGCACAGGACACCAGGGCCCCTGTGATTGGGAAGGGTCGATCTGCGAATCAAATTCAACTGTACTTCGCCGACGCTGGTCTTTGGACGCCCGCAGTGGGTGCACGGGACAAACATGGGCACGACGCTCATCAGCGAGGGCCGTCCAGCACCCGCAGCGGCCGCTGTCGGGCAGGCGGCGTTGTGCCGCACACACGGGCAACGGCGCCGCGGCGACTGGAGCAGCGAATCCTCTGCAGCAGTGGGCAGGAGCTTGCTGCTGGTTGTCGTGCCTATTCTTCGGGGGGGCGCAGACATGGCTTAGCGGTCCATGGCCTACATGGGGCCTCGAACAGGGCTGGACCTACAGGTTGTGTGTGTGTTCGTCTTGTTGTCGTGTTGTGTTTCGTTTTGCCCTGCCTGTGCTCCTGCAGCTCCCCGCCACAACACAAACAAATGGCACACAGCCGAAGCCAAGCAGGGCAGCGTCGAGGTCCAGCCCTGGCCTCAAAATCCCACCAGCCCTCTGGGCGCAGGTGGTATAACGCTTATGTGTACAGTGGGGGCTCGGCCACAAGAAACCTCCGCAAGAAACCCAACCCTGAAATTCGCGATTTGTTCAGTGAGAATCCACATTTGTCGATCGAGAATCGTCAAGATCTTGTTGGAGGCCCATCGAAATCCAAGAAACCCAGGGCACCCTGGCAAAATCCAGCTGGTGTCTCGGCACGCGCCCCCACTGGATGCCCAGTTCCTAAAACCCTTCTTCTCCCCTCGGTCTGGAAGGAGGGCCGCGAGAGGTTCGAGGGTCCTTTGTGGCCCAAGATGGTACCAACCTGGCCTCACAGAGTACAAGGTTACCTCCAAGGTGATGCCAGAAAGCGCCATATGGCTCAAGAAGGCCTCCAACATGCTTCGAAGAGGCTCCAAGGTGGCCCCAGGCCCGCTCCAAGTTCCATCGGAGCTCCCCAAGGAACCCCTACGAGAAGCAACATTCACATCTGAGGCCTCGAACTGGTCCGAAGATGATCCAAGCTAGCCCCATGAGGAGACCAGACGGGCCCAAGACAGCCCAAGTGGGCCCCAAGAGGCTCTCATGAGCGCCCCGAAAGGCCCCAAGAGGCAGTGTCTCGTTCCCCGAGGTGGTGGGGAAGATGGTTCCAGCAAAAATGACAGCGGGGCTCCTCTTGGCTGTGTTGGGAGACTCCTGGGTTGCGAAAGGGCCTCCGAGGCCCCACTTGGACTGTCTTGCGGCCCTCCGGGGCCGTCCTGAGCTCCCCATGGAGTCCCGCTGGGGGCGTCTTGGGGCCCTCTTGGGCTGTCTCGGGCGAGCGCCTCTTGGGATCCTCCTGCAGCCCGTTGCGGTTGTCTCGGAGGAGTGTCCAAGGCCCTCTTGCCCGAGTAGCGGGAAAACAAAAGCCCTGAGATCATCGAAAGACCCTTGGAGAATCAATGCATTGTCCCTCTCGGGGGCCTTCCAGGGGTCTTGACATGACCCTCCAGCCCATTTCAGGGGCCTCTTGGCAACAATCTTAAGCTGCCTCAAGTCGTCTTGGCGGCGTCGACGCTACCCTTGGGGTCCCTTGCATCTTACTCGTGCCCTCCTCGAGTTTTCTGGCGCTCTCTGAGCCCCGTCTGGGGGCCGTCTTGAGAAGCCAGGGAGAGGCCCACGGGCTCCGCACCCAAATCAGAGGTTCGAGGTCCTGGCTCTGGGACACCCATCCCCCGTCCCCCCG